AGATAGATAGATAGATAGATAGATAGATAGATAATAGATAGATAGATAGATAGATATCAAACTGGTCCCTTTAGTGTGTGTGTGTATGGTTGCAGTGGGGATATTAGATTGTAAGCTCCTTTGGGGCGAGGACTCATATAGATAATAGATAGATAGATGGATGGATGGATGGATGGATGGATGGATGGATAGATAGAGAGAGAGCAAAGACACTTTTGCTCAACTGAAAGCAAGCCAGAAAGATTAAAAAGAAAAGAAAAGGTCGATCGATATGAGATTCCCTCCCCAGCAGCACATACTCATCTCATCTCCATTCAGGTGTTGGAGGAGAGGAGGTCATGTGTCATTGGATTGTAAGGGGTTAAGGTCGGAGTCATGTTACAGTGACACAGGGACCATGGGGAACAGACGTAGCCCCCCCTCCAGAAGGAAGGACAGTGTCAGAGATGATTGGAGGATCTACAGCCGAGTGATACACAAATAAGATACATTGTTGAAGGTACTTGAATGAATTATTATGATTCAACTCCTAAATTAAGTGTCACTTTAAGATTAAAGTGAGGTGAAGGTTGGAGTGCGGTGAAGGTTGGAGTGCGGTGAAGGTTGGAGTGGGGTGAAGGTTGGAGTGGTCTCTTTGATATTCTCAGTGCGCTTTTCTCATGCTACAAAATCAGCATTACATTAGTAAATACCGCCAAATGGCTCGGTATTATCCGCTTGTGTCACGCGCTCGGTACGACGGAGCAAATTCAATCTTTGGTAGAAAGTAACAATAATCAGAATAGTAATTCATTGGGGAGAACCAATATCCGCCTTTTCAGGCGAGGACATAGACACGACTTCTATTTTAATCCATCAAAAAGCATGCGTGCGCGTTACAGGCGTGCGCCCGCCGCGTGTCACGCTTTGTAATGCAAAAGTCCCTTTTCCACGGAAGCGCGCCTCTTTTGATAAGACTCCTTTGAAGCATCTTCACAGTAGTACAAGGCTGACCCGCTGACCCCGGAGAGTCCTTGATATTGAAATACGACCTGCGCCAACGCTTGCGTATTCAGAGCGCAGAGCCGCCATGCGATCCCGGCCAGGTCCGTGTTTGTGCTTTGTAATAAATAAGTGATAAAAGGCAAACGCATTCTGTTTTATCACATACGGTATGGCCACACGGGTCCGACCCCTTAATATTTTACAAGCCCGCGTGGGATGGCTCCTGCTACAGACGGGAGACGACTCTGGGCAGACTGATGGCTTATTGATCTATCGGAGGGCGAGATCAAACCATAAACAGCAACAACGGCTCCTATCAACAACAACAACAACAACAACAACAAAGTATTCTTTATTGAGACTGTTCCAAAAAAAAAAAAAATGGGGAAAAATGAAATGGAGACAGTCAGTCAGATGAACGATTTCAGTTCTGCAGATCGACTTTTCTCCCATACAAACAATCTATCTCAGATGAACACGTGCTCAACCCGTTATTGATTATTGCTTAAAGACGAACTCCGGGTAGATATAAAAGATACTAATTAACGCAGCTCTGTATTCAGTTATACATGCCACTCAGCCCCTCTGGCTGAGAACCCTTGGTGACTTTGAGGCCACCTAACACCGTGGTATTGCCTCACAATGCCACAATATATATATATACAGTTATCAATAATAAGTACTCAATGAAATAACCCGTATTCAATCGGCCCAACCAAGTACTGATGGGGGGGGTCATAATAATCTGGCCACTCAGTGTATATATACACAGATAGCTGTATCCCTTTCGCAATGTCATTGTGTCTACATAAGTTAAATCATCACAATATACAGTATTTCCCCCTTAAAATATAAATCCACCTTCCCCCCACATCCCCTTCATGGTACCGGGTACCTATCGTTCACACCATAAATCCACACAGAGTAATGTGAATGTTCTCGTTTAGAGACTCCTGTTCCTAATGGGGCCATCAAACCATAAACATGTCTACATTGAAATCACAAAACCGATCAATATGTCTGATAGGCTCCCAGCTGGCGACATCCTGCACAATACAAATAGGTGTGACAAGCCAGATACTCAGTAGTGCGGGGTAGACATTGTATTCTCATGGTGAAATGTCAGCCCATACAATCAACATGGTGGATCTCCAACAGGTGAACTGAAATTACTTTGTAGTTCCACTGAGGATGGACAAAAATGATCCCCCGATCTTCTTATAACATACATTACATCTAAATCTTTAGGGTGACGGGAGGACGCTAGTTTGTGTCCTCCCGTTACCCCAAGGAGAACTATGGGGAAAAACACTGACCCCATAGTTCTCCTTTAATAATCCTTCAAGGTCTCCTACAACTCCGTCTCTTCCTCTTTCTGCAGGAGTTCTCCAGGGCTTGGGCCTCAGACCCCTTCTACATCTCCCTGGGTCAGTTGATGACCTCCCATGGCTTGCAATACCATCCTCACGCTGATGACACCTGAATCTTTCTCCACAAGAAGTGAACAAGTCCCCCCAATGTAGGCACACACACTGACAAAAAATTAGATCCTAACAGTTGAAAGCTAAACTCCAGTATTTTTGTGGGTCACCATGCTGTTAAACCGGCGGGATGAGTTATGCCGCCGGGTCCCCTCCTCGCTCCTGACACTGTCGGGCTCTCGGTCCATGACTTAGCCCGATTTGTTTTAGAGGGGGGGGGGTGACACCAAAATGACTGTCAGTCATTTTGGTGTCACATCTCCAATGGTGTTACCCGTACACCCCTCACCCCCCCCTTGTGACGCCACTGATCATATGCATTCATGTGCATTTAGGTCTCATGCACATGGCTGCCCGGGGACATTCAGCATACATTCTGGCATATTTCCCTGCCCGGGAGCCAAAGGCGATGCGTACAGCTGCCTATAGAAATCAATGGCTATAAATGGCCACACATGGGTGTGCGCATGCGTACAGACACACAACCCTGAATGCAGACAGTACTCGTGTGCGTACCCACGTACAGCCATTGATCTCTATAGGCAGCTGGCTGTACGCAGCACCTGTGGGCAGATTGTTTGTTCCCCCCGATCAATTTCTTCCGCCTTTCAATAAAACAAACGCAGGAAGCTTCTGTGAATGAGCGCTTAATGAGTTCCCTTCCACCTGTTACACAGCGCG